TTGGTGATCTACTACTGGTTATAATGAGGGTCGGTGATAGTGGGTGCTTGAACCCTCCCATCCACATATCCTATCTTCCCTCTGCTTTTCAGAAAAATAATCTAACTCTGCGACCACGCGAGGAAATTATAACCATTAAATAGAGAGGTAGTGATTTTAAGGCCAGGGTTGAGGTTATCAGTCATAGGAGAAGGGATAACCGAACTCTCGTCCTGAGATGGTTAAGAGGTAGTGGATTCACTAGTCAAATCTGCTATGGAGACTTTATTAACTATTCCGCAATCACAAGGCCAATCACAAACCCGAAAGATGAGAGCGGAGGAACAAGTACAAGAAGAACTAGAAAAGCATAAAGAATTTAAGAATCTAGTTTTTTTTTTTTTTTTTTTTTTTTTTTTTTTTTTTTTTTTTTTCGCATTTGTGTTTTAAAAGAGAATTAAAGAGTGTTTAATAACCAACCAATGCAGATGAAGGGAAACGAAAGCAGAACCGGAGGCAAAGTCAAACTGAGGCTCAGAGGTGCAGACATGAGTCACACATAACAGAGACTTTGTCGACAAGGACCACAAAGGCTAAAGGGACTGTCGACAGACCCCTAGACAGTCAGAGGGACTGCTGACAAGCCCTTAGGGACTCCGAGAAGCTGCTAACTAAGCCTAATAGACTGTCAAGGAGCCTAGATGAGGAGCCAAAGACCTGGGAAGGGTGTCGCAGGCTGTGGGTTACCTGGGTAGACTACCGACTGGTCTGCTGGACTGTAGGTGGGCTTTTGGCATAAAAGAAGAAGGGCAATGGAGAGATGGGCTAGGGTTTTGGCTTTGATACCATGTAAGTTTAGAGAAGAGAAAGAGTTAGGGAATGAGTTAGACTTCATTCCCTTTTATATTGATAATACTGAGTAATTATAGGAGTGCCATAAGGCATAATATATGGGCCAGCCCATTACACCAATCAAGAGAATAAATAAGAATAAAATACAATCACTTATTTCCTATTCTAATTGTACCTTGGTCATTACTCTCTAGAGGATTCTTTTTCAGCTGGGGAGAAATGATGGGGACCAAGAAAGAAAGGGATTGAAGATTTATTATAGGCGCAAGAGACACCAGGTGGAATCCTAGAATTTTTAGGAGGTTTCGTTCCCAAATTAGTTATATTTTTTGTTTCTTTAATTTTCCTTATTACCTATGTAGGTTTTTTTTATTATTTATTTATTGTTTTATATATATATATATATATAGAGATTTTGGAACGAGAATATTTACCTTTGAATGAATAATTATAAAATTTGAGAGAGATTATATTTTCTTTGAGAAAATCCTAGAGTGGGAGTTGTTTCTTCTCGTTATTCTTCTTTCTTCCTTTTTGGTTTTACACCAAATAGGTAGGCAATGACTTGCACCAAACCAGACATTACTTTTGCAGTGGGAAAACTTAGCAGATATACTAGTAATCCTAGTAGTGTGCATTGCCATGTTGTTAATCGAGTACTAAGGTATTTGAGGAAAACCATGGACTATGGAATAGTTTATAATGGGTATCCACCAATGCATGAAGGATTGATGGATGCCAGTTGGATTATTGACCATGAGGATGACTCATCAACGAGTGGTTGGAATTTTATTCTTGAAGGATAAGCTATCTCCTGGGGATCTAAGAAGCAGACACTCATAGTAGACTCAACTATGGCAACTAAGTTTGTAGCAAAGAGGCAGAGTGACTAAGGAATCTATTGCTATAAATTAAATTGTGGCCAAAACCTATGCTGCTTATATCTTTGCATTGTGATAGCAAAGCAACTTTATTATGGACTTGTGAAAGTCTAGGCATATAGGACTGAGACATAGCTTTGTCAGGCTGTTAATCATAGAAGGTATAATTACAATTGATTATGTAAAGTCAAGTCAAAACTTGGTTGACCCTCTAACAAATAAAACTCTAAAAATCCCTAACAAAATTTGGTTGACCCTCTAACAAGAGACTTGCAAGGGATTTGGTATGAACCTCAAGGGGTTGGCATAGTGGCTTGAGGCCTGGGGCTTAGGAGTTTGCTCCTTCTAGTTCTTAGGCTCAATTCCTCAAACCAACATAAAACCCTTAAGGCCACGGACCACAAGGAAACCTGTTTTGTAAGGCTTGTTTGGGTTGTAAGGACTTAGCTTGGTGCGTGAAAGCTGGCCTACGATATTCTGCTTAACAAAAAAAAAAAAAAAAAGGGATTTGGTGTGGAAAACATTAAGGGGAATGGGTCTTAAAGCCCACATAACGTAATCACTCCTAGTGGAAACTTGACTCAACACTTGAAATATCAAGTCCATGAGTTAAGCAAGCCCAAGTACACCATATGTCGTGATTGCAAGCACTTAAAGTTTTGTTTCTATTTGTCATCCCAAGGTAAAGTGCTTGGTACCTGTAAATGTGAAAAAAGAAGTGAAGTTAGTAAACTCTTAATAAGCTTACAACTGAGGTTGTTAGGGTATTATAGGGGTACTCTCAGTAAGCATACCTATATGAGTGTAGGAGGTGGTTCTGCTTCCTATGAGTCCAAGGGCATGGCTCTAGAGTGCTCATGAAACAAGACGTAGATACAATGCCAATCCATGTGTCGACTAATTAGAATGCTTGAGGTAACATATATTATGCATGAGACATCCGGTTAGTCGTATAAAATCAGTAGGTCAATGACAAAAGTTGTAGGGGTACTCTTAGTAAGCTTACCTATATGAGTGTAGTAGATGGTGTTGCTTCCTATGAGTCCATGGGCTTGGCTCTAGAGTGCTCATGAAACAAGACATAGATAAAATGCCAATCAACGTGTCGGCTTATTTCAATACTTGAGGTAACATATACTATGTGTGAGACATATCCGGTTAGTCATATAAAATTGCTAGTTCAAATACAACTTTACTATGCCATCTTGATTAACTTTGACGTGTTTTTCACTAAGTGAATGGTTCAAATCGTAAGATACCTTCACCTATGCATATGGCTTCAAAGCAAACCAAGAATTATCATTTGGTATTTTGAAAATGGTGGGTGATTATTGGGGAATTTCAAAATTAAATTATAGTTATATGGGTATTTTCAAAACCTTCCTTGTTTACTTTGGAAAGCTTAGAACAAGCTTGAGAACTTGTCCCACATTGGAAAGAGAAGAAAAGATGGAGTTCTCAATAAAGAGCAACATAGAATATTCCTTTGAATATAGAATTGTAGTATGGATGGTAGTGTACATGCACCATCCACGCGCGCACTGTGTGGGCAATGGGTTGTGTGGTACTTTCCTATTTGATATGAAAAGTTTGGCACGATGACGTGGATCCAATGTGGTAGTGATGTGGCACACATCAATGGTGAGTTAGCCAACTTGATCATACGGCTATGTGTCTAATATGGAGCGGTTTGATTATTGTCGTTGATGGGATAAGCGTGGGATCAGACAGATCAGATGTCACCTGATCGTGATCGTGATCGTGATCGAGTGTGTCTAATCAAGGTAACCCTTTGGTCTGAAATAGATCTACATTGTAGATCATTTATCCAATGGTTAGATCTGATTGAATGCGATCAAGGGACATGACCCATTCGATCATGTGCATCTAGGCCTATATATAGGCTGCAAATCAAGCCATTCTCTTCATCCAAAAATTCAAAAAACAATTTTGGAATTCTCTCTCTCGATCGATTTTATGTTTTCCATCAAGAGTTTTCTAAAGGAAGTTTTTTGTTTCTCTGTCTTTTTGATAATCATTTCCTGCAGACTTGATTATCAGTTCTCTTTGTTCTATTTTGATATCTTTTGTGCAAATGCTGGTTAATTGATCCTTAGATCAGGCTTAATTGTATCCTGGAGGCGAATTTACTGTTAACATAACTTGAAGCAATCATTTTTGTGGTTGTTTTCGAAGACACCAAAGTCGATCACCAGATTTTAAAAACTAGAAGATAACCAATTTTTGGAGGCAACCACGTTCTGGTTATCATAGTTTCAAATTATTAAAGTAAAGGATCATTTTTGAGATTATATGGAGAGAGGTAGCAAAATCTCATTGAACTTCGTAAATGAATTTATGCATATCAACTAAAAATTATGAATATTTTTCTCCATGTCTCTGATTTGTAGGGAGATGTTTACCTTTACATGAGTACGTTTATTTGATGATGGGTGTATGATGTCTATATTGCAAACTTGAAGCATTTGGAATATTGTTTTTTTTTCTTAGTGTTTTAATATTATGAACCCCTAAATGTATAAAATGTTTTCCGTGTTTCAAGTTCTTTGTGCTCTTCCATCATGCTGTGTCCAACATCCTATGTGTGGGAACCAAGGTTTCAAAAAGTGGTGTTATGTAACAGTTGTGGTGGTAGACGTTACTTGTTACACCAGCTTTTGCAGTGTGACGGAAATTCGCATGTGTAATGGCCGTTTCGGTGTTACATAATGGCCATAGCGGTACCGTAACGGCCCGTTACACACCGTTACACGTAAAAAATATTAAGCACCTGAAAGCTCTCAATATTGTTTGTGGTTATGCTATTATAAGTTAAAAGTGATATGGGGAATCACAAGACCATTTAACCAGTATGCAGAGTAGTTGTTTCACATTTGTACTTCTAAGGTGTAGGGGAAAATAGTATTTGGATATTCACACTTGCGGTGGTGTTGAGTATGAACCAAACTACCAAATAATTGACTACTCTGTACTTTAATCATTTAATTGTGTGTAGTTGTCCAACCTCATCTTCAACTGCAAATAATTCTGTGTAGCTGTGTATATTTAATAGCTTGAAGTTCATGATTAGTTCATTCGATAAAATTGAATTATTTTTTGAATTTGGCTTTTAGAACTGATAAGGGTTTCATAATGTGATGTTTAAAATAAGTATTATTGTTGGGTTCTTTTTTTTAAATTTTGGTCACATACACAATTAGACGTAGCAGCAACCAACTGTGATGTAAAAAGCATCATTAAGATGTCTGATACTGTTACATGTCTCAGATAGTTGAATGTCGGAGAGTATTAAAATGGACCTATGCATATGGATACTACCTACCCTGGCATGAACATGCTAAGAGGCAATTTTTTGAATATTTACAAGGTATGTGGTTTCTTCCAAACTTCTACGAAATACAACTTTGAAAATTGTTTGAAGTACTGTGGTGAAAATGATGTGATTTGTCTGCAGGTGAGGCCGAGGCTGGTTTAGAAAGGCTTCATCAATGTGCTGAAAAGGATCTACAGAATTACCTCAATGCCGAAGCCCCTTCGAATGATTTTAATGATTTTCGCACAAAGCTGGCTGGACTAACTAGGTAATTTTGTCTAGAAATAGTCGTTTGAGTGATAAAGTCTTCTATTTATGAGAAGTTATGTTTTACATGGACTCTTCTAAATATATGAAATACCTGTATTGAACACTCTACACTAGGGTAAGGTTATGGGACAAGAACGCGGGCACAAAAATAGACACGAGCACGGTCACGCACGGATTTGGACATAGACACAAACACGGTCACAAATATGGACACCAGACAACAATTATCAAAAGTTTAAAATACAGACACAGTGGGGATCAGCTTTTTCAACAGCAGACTCACGCCATATGGATCTGCCTTTGCCATGATCAAGCTTGGTGGGAACAGAGCCAATTCGATGGCTAACAAAAATTCAATCTTCATTTTCACTTTTCGTATTTTAAAATTTTTTTTTTTTTATTTAATTTTTACAAAAGAAAGAGAACTTATTAGGTTAGGCCAGGTTGGCCTTGATACCATTCCAAACCCAGCAGTAATATTGACACTGCTGATTAAAACCAGCCTACATGCATACCCTACTACTGAAATTCAATGGTATTTGTAACGAGTCTCTTAGCTACAAAAACCTGCTCCTCTTGCAATTATCCTCCCCTTCCTGGCTTCAATGTCATCATGATGATCATGCAGAGGAAAAGGCATTGCTATATGCAATGTTATGCTGTACACTGAAAAACACCCCAAAATTACACAAATCTGAAATGCCTATATCGATAGAAGTTAATACTTCACAAGAAGTAAAATCAAACTTGAAAAATATCCAACACTCATCTCAAAAATTGCAATAAAATAAAATAAATTAAGAAAATTTATAAGCAGAATTCTAAACTTGACTAAAAATTGTTCAAACCTATTTGTATTTTTACCCAAATAGATAAAAGAAGAAAATTGCAAGAACCTAAAAATTACTAGAAAGTATATTAGTAGGAAAAACACACATCTTAGCTGTCATTATGAAGTTATCCACATAATTTTTTGAGATTCCCTTGGAGAGTGAAAAAAATTATCAATTTTTGTAGGATCACTCAGATAATTTGAACCACTTTAAGTGCAGTATGTCAATATGACCTGGGATATTTTTTTGGGTGGGTAAGACGTGGGATATTCAGTAGCTGCTAATCCGATTTCTTCTATCAAATGATTGTTGTTCATGTGAGAAGCACTCAACCCAACTTAGCCAACTCCTTTGTATCCGGCATAAGGCGCTAAACATATTCTCCATTTCATTAAGTCCTACGGCCCACGAGTAGAGAGTTCTAGTCCTTTTTGTATATGGTTGTTTGGATCCTCAAATCTCGTGTCATAGTTGTAGCTTCTTGAGATTGTCCAACCTCAGTTGATCACTGGTAAAATGAGATCCATTTTGTTCAATCCTTGATCACCAACAACATAATTATTAACGATTTCTTCTCAGTCTAGCACTTCAATAGTGTCTCCAGGTGCTTTAGCTCCTGCTTGAGTTGCACCATCTTTGCCAAAAATGACTCTTCATAATACGGGAATGGTTTTATCCATAACCCTTTTGCATCTTTGTTACTCTGCATGCCAAATTAATTTGAAATTACAATATACAACAAACGTTGCAAATATATTTACTTCGCACTAATCTTTGTGTGTATATATATTTATATATATTTCTCACTTATTATCGTCTTTTTCTCTTAATCCCTTGCAAATGCACTGCATCTTCCAGTAAGCATATCATTGATTGCTCCATATTTTTAATTTAATAGCTTCAGTCTAGATTCGAATCAGGTTGTGCTTTCAATCAACACCCTGGGAGCTTTTGCTCCAATTTGGTCTTTATTTCCTTTTTAGTTCTTGGTTTAAAACCATTGTCACACCTAATTTTTTTGGCAACACAGCTCTGGTAGTACTTGAGTAAGTTTCTCATCTTCTTTGGGAGTCCATTGTCACTTGTTTTTGCGTAGTACATCACATTGCTCATTTGGTGTATAGTCCATCCTGAAAATTATGCATCTTAAAAATGAACAAAAGTTAAAAATCAACTAAAAAACAAATTGATAACAATGTCTAAAGTTCATCGTATTCAATTTAGAAAAAACTAGTCAATCCATTTAACAAAAGAAAACAAATCATATGAAAAAATATAGAAATAAATAAATTATACCAGAATAATTGTGTCTGAGTTGATCACATCCAAATAGGCGATTAAATAAAATAAGAAAATAAAAACTACAATGAGAAACAAGTGATAACTTTACAAAATTGTAAGCATACTATAATTGTTCATGCACCCTGCCTATTGTTTAACCAGTTGTTAAACATTTCAGCTGCTAAGTTATTTCTCCATTTCTCCATGTAGTCTATTCATCGGAAGTCTTAACATGCGTGATTGGATCACCTTTCAAATTATTAATATCTTCACCTTCACTCTCACCTTCTACATTTAGTTCTTTTTCTATTGGGTCTATAAATATTTCTGTTTTTATTAGATTATATCAATGTTTTTAAAGGCGAAAGCGCAAGGTGAGGTGTTTTACCCTTGATGAGGTGAGCCATAAGCGTCAAGGCGTTGAGGCGTAAGCCTTTTGAATTTTATAAATGGTTTTGCTACATGCACCAATTAATATATTAATTAGTGTACCAACATAATTATGGCATTGCCATTTTTAGATTATGACCCCACTCATTATACAAATTATAAAGACCCAAAACCTCTAAAATTATGCCACACCATCCGTTAGTACATTAATTGGTATACCAACTGGTGCATATAGCATTATTCTTTTATAAAATATAAAGTTAAATTAATATAGCATAAAAGAATATAAAAAATATAGGAAATAAAATTCATAAGACCATTTATGCCTAAAAATAAATTGAATTAATATATTTACCAATAGCAAGAAAATAACACTCTTAAAAATATAAAAAAATTGTTTTGCAATAAATACAAAGAGTCCAACTAAAAATCATTCAGCCATAACACCCTCAAAAAGAAAAAAGAGAATTTGTTATGCAATAAGTACAAAGAGTCCAACCAACAGTCATTCAACTACAACACTTAAAAAAAAATATTTATTATACAATAAATAATAGTTTCCAACCTGAAATCATTCAATCAATATAGAAAAGCACTAAATCGTTGGAGAAAAAGACCTGAAGTCGAGCTGACGTTGTTTAGATATGAAGAAGATCAATCGTTTGCAACTCTGCATCTATGGTTTTTTATATCTTCTTCTTATTCGAAGTCGTATGCCTCGTTGTTAATGCATGAAAAGTGCAAAAATGTGCCTGATGCGAAGGCCTCTGAGGTTGAGGCTTTTGCATAGCTGGTGCTTCGCGAAAAAATCAATGCACAGGATCGTTTTCATCACGCCTCGCCTCAATGCACGCCTTTAAGGCGTGCCCCAAGAACACCCTTGAAAACATTGGATTATATGCAGAGGGCAACATTCCGTGATGATTTGACATTGTCTCCTAATCGAATAATATGAAGGACTTAGCAAAGTCGCCTATCGACATTTGAGCAACCCAATTCACCTTTCGATTATGTTTTGAGCTGATGAGTCCTTCATGTTAAAGAATTCCTGTGTTGTGTTGGTGTCAATCACTCCGTTCGTTTAAATGATATTGTTGCCCTCTATATGGTGCATGAAAACATTACCATTTGTATATCTAGCATCCACAAGATAATAAAAACCTAAAGATGACAATTGGTATAAAAGAGGAAAATAAAACTGTGTTTTGTTATGCGCTAAATAAAATGTTGTATTTTAAATGATAGATTACCATCACGGACTACCAAACCATTTCTCATGCTTATGTCATCTCAGAGTAGGGATGCGCATGGTTGGAATTGACATGAAAATCTTGGAATTAAACCAGACCAAACAAGTAAAACTTGGTTCGGTTCGATTCTATTCGATTTAGTTCAGTTTAGAACCACGGTTCTTAGTAACCTTGTCATTATTCACAATATGATCACAAAATATTGTCTACAACCTAAAAATTGTTTAGATGTTTGTTTAGAACTAATTCCACCACTATACAAAATGCTTGCGAGAGTAAAAGGCTTCAACTTATGTATATATATATGATACTAATAAGATATTTGAGTGTTTATATATATATATATATATATTGTCATGACCCAAACCCGCTCCTAGAGGCTATGAAGCATGGACACTCCAAAAATGGTGCCGTGGCAGTGTCCGACACGGGGACACGCCGGGGACACGTACAGGACACACCAGATGGCGTGTCCCTTTAATTTAATGATTTTTTTGGAAGGGGACACGGCGGGGACACGCGTGTCCATATCTGGACACGACGGGGCTTTTTTTTGAATTTTTTATATTTATTTGGGGTCAAAGTATAATATTTAAAAAGTTCCAAAAAAAAAAAAAACCAACGGGCAAAGCCCTAATTGAACAACTGAGGGATTAAATGAGTAAAATCAGACCTGCGAAGCCCTCCTCTCTCTCAGTCGAAGCCCTCTGAAGTCGATCGAAGCTCTCTCTCTCAGTCGCAGCCCTCCGAAGTCCATTGAAGCCCTCCGAAGTCGATCGTAGACCTCCAATCCAGTCGCCACAGTCTCTGTTTCAGTCGATCCAGTCGTCTTCGACCTTCGATCCAGTCGTCTTCGAAGGTAACCCCTCTTTCGCCTCTGTCTCTCTCTTTCGCTCTCTATCTCTCTCTCTCTGCTCTGCTTTCGGTTCGACTTCGACTGAGACAGACTAATTTTTATTTTTATTTTTTTATATGTTTATATATAATAAGACTTTTTATTTTTATTTGTTTATACGTTTGTTTTATTTTTATTTTTATTTGTTTATACGTTTGTTATATATGTAAGACTTTTTTTTTTTTGTAATTATATGTTTATATATATGTATATATATAAAACTATATTTAAAAAAAAAAAATTATAGGTTTATATATATATACAGTATGTAAACTCTGTTTTTTATTTTTTATTTTTTATTTTTTTTCCTTCTATTTTTTATCCTTCTAATGTTAATGTTAATTTATAGGAAAAATGTCTAGTTCAAATTCTGCCAATAACACACAATCTGCCTTTGATGCTGAAGATAATAAGCCACTGTGGAAATATGTGACTAGATTAGAAAAATCTGGTGCAAGAGGGGGGAATTATACTTTTCAATGTAACTTTTGTCGGGTTACACGTAAAGGTTCATACACTAGGGTAAAAGCCCATTTGATACAAATTAAAAATCAGGGGATAGAAGTGTGTCCAAAAGTAACAAGTAAGGATAAAGCTAATTTTGAGAGAGTAATTGCAGAAGCAAAGTTGAAATTGAAAAACTTTAGGTTGAAGAAAGTCCCATTGCCTCCTCCTACTTCAAGTGCATCATTAGGTTTATGTTTTAATGAACCAGAGGAGATGTATGGATTCAAAAGGAAGAGGTCAACTGCTATTGGGAGTGGAAGTAGTAGTAACCCTGTTCTGAAAGCATTTAACATTGGTGCTCGAGAAAGACTAAATAATGAGATAGCTAGAATGTTTTATTCAGCAGGCTTGCCATTTCATTTGGCAAGAAATCCTTACTATGTTAGTGCATTTACTTTTGCTGCAAATAACAACATACAAGGATATGTACCACCTGGGTATAATATGATGAGAACTACATTGCTTCAAAAAGAAAGGATAAACATTGATAGGTTGTTAGACCCTATTCGAGGCACATGGAGAGAGAAGGGTGTGAGTATAGTCAGTGATGGATGGAGTGATTCCCAACGAAGGCCATTAATAAATTTTATGGCGTTTACCGGAGGTGGGCCTATGTTCCTTAAAGCAGTTGATTGTTCAGGGGAAACAAAAGACAAGTATTTTATTTCCAACTTGATGAAGGAAGTAATTATGGAGGTTGGGCCTAAAAATGTGGTTCAAGTCATTACAGATAATGCCGCAAATTGCAAGGCGGCGGGGCACCTAATTGAAGCACAATTTCCTCACATCTTTTGGACTCCTTGTGTTGTGCACACCCTCAATCTTGCCTAGAAGAATATTTGTGCTGCCAAGTATGTGGAAAATAATTCAGTTGCATTTGAAGAGTGTAATTGGATTAGTGAGATTGTGGGTGATGTGATAATGATCAAGAATTTTATTTGTAATCATTCCATGAGGTTGGCAATATACAATGAATTTGTGAGTTTGAAACTTCTTTCAGTTGCGGAGACACGCTTTGCTTCTTCCATTGTCATGCTTAAGAGGGTCAAGTTGATAAAGCAAGGTCTCCAAACAATGGTAATTAGTGATAAATGGAGTTGTTATAGGGATGATGATATTGGTAAGGCCAAGTTTGTGAAGGATAAGTTGTTGGATGACTTTTGGTGGGATCAAGTCAACTACATACTTTCTTTTACTGCTCCTATTTATGACATGATTATAATTTGTGACACCGATAGACCTTCGCTTCACTTAGTTTATGACATGTGGGGTACAATGATAGAAAAAGTGAAGATGGTGATATACAAGCATGAAGGAAAGCGACTAGAAGATGAGTCTACATTCTATAATGTAGTACATCAGATTCTTGTAGACCTGTGGAACAAGAACAACACACCACTTCATTGCTTGGCACACTCATTGAATCCAAGGTGATTACAACACAATTTATTATTTTTATTAATTTAAGTTTAATATTATTCTTTCACATTTATAATGAGTAGTACTTTTTTTTTTCATTTTAGGTATTATAGTGATGTGTGGCTTCATGAGGATCCAAGTCGAATTCCCCCACATAGGGATGAGGAGGTTTGTCTTGAGAGAAAAAAGTGCTTGAAAAGGTTCTTTGATGATCCAATGGAGCACACTAAAGCAAATTTGGAGTATGCTAAGTTCTCAACAAAAGAGGGGCCATTTGCTGACATTGATTCCATTGGAGATAGATGTGATATGGATCCTCATAGTTGGTGGGTTGTTCATGGTGCATCTGCACCCACTCTTCAATCTTTGGCTTTAAGGCTACTTGTGCAGCCTTCTTCTTCATCATGTGCTGAGAGGAATTGGAGTGTATACTATTTTATCCATTCAATGAGAAGAAACAAGATGACACCTCAACATGCAGAGGACTTGGTTTTTGTTCATAGCAACCTCCGTCTTTTGTCAAGGAGAACCCCACAATACCTTGAAGGAGAGACCAAGTTATGGGATATTGCGGGCGACACATTTGATTCATTTGATGATGGTGGGATGCTTAAGGTTGCAAATCTATCACTTGATGAACCTGAGATAGAGGTTGTGTTGTTTACAGATGATGGAGGTGCAAACGATGAAAAAGGTGGTGATGATAATGATGATGAAGACGTGCAAGAAATTGGATCTACTTGAAGTTTTGAAAGGCCTACTTTTCTTTTTTTGTTTTTTTTTTCCCTTCTTCTTTGCCTCTTATTTAGTGCTTTTGTGAAGAATATTATTGGATGTTGGATGTTTTCCCCTTATATTTATTGTTGGATGTTGAATTTTTTGCCTCTTATATTTATTGAATTAATGGTACTATGTTAGTGTTTGTTAATTTTGATTTAGAATGAATGTAATACGAATCTACATAACACATAAAAATATATATATATAAAAAAAAAAATTCGCCGTGTCCTCCGCCGTGTCCGTGTCCCCATTTTTTGGAAATTGCCGTGTCCGGTGTCCGTGTCCCCATTTTTTGGAAATTGCCGTGTCCGGAGTCCGTGTTCGTGCTTCATAGCCTAGAGGTTTGACTTATAACCAGCCAGCAATCGTGAGATTACCTATAGCCTTAGACAAAAATCAAATCATATTTAATTATATGGGGTCAGAAGCAGAGGAATAAATATAAAATTTGCCCAATGAACTTGTGCTTAAATGGCATGAACAAAAACATCTGATATATATATATATATTAATAACTCACACCCATACATACATAAGAAATCTCACATGTCCAAAATAATACTTATGTCATTAACATATAAACCAAAGCTTATATACAGATGTGGTCAAACATGACCAACAAAAGAAAACATAAAATCAAAAGACAAAAGCCTCATGCGTGAGGCATCCTTAGCTGACTTCACAAAAACTCGGTATTCCTCCACAGGTTCACTAGGGCTGGTGCTGGACATTCCGCTGCTCACCTACATATATATATATATATAATGGAGTGAGCGGAAGCCTAGTGAATAACATCAAAGTTAAGAGGTTATATGAATGAGTTCTAATACTCAAATAAAATCATTTTCATAATAGTTTCGTATTATAACAGAACGACATTGGGTCCAACATATACAGAGATACAGAACAGAACAGATCATATTTGTCGGAACGACCTCGGGTATAACAACTTCGGGTCTATTCGATTACAGCTGTAAAATGACCATTGGGTCAACACATAACAGATATTCAGACTTATCAGATGTACAGAGAATCAGATAATCGAAACGACCTTAGGTCCACCTTATTAGATATACCGAATGACCTTTGATCCATTTCAGTTGTACAGAACGACCTTAGGTCCATCATATGTTTTCATGCTTGCCAATCACATTTGTAGATCTTCTACGAATCAGACAGATAGAAGGCTCATTCATATCACAAAATCATAAGTTCAAAAAACTTACCACATAGGTATCATTTAGAAAATAGGATGCATAAAAATATCTTTACTAAGATATTACTCACAATGATTTGGTTGCTGATTTGGCTTCGCGAATAAACCTACACAATTTATAACACACACACACATTGAATCACATTGCTTAATCGGTTCATTATTAAATTATTCAATTCTCTTACGCTTCATTCTAACTCTTTAATTCATTTAGGATACTCAATACATGCCTAAAATTGCTCAGAAAGGAATGAGAACAGAGTTATGAGCAAAATATGACTTTTCAAAATATGCTAGAACAGGGCACGTCACTCGAGCGCAACATTGGTCACACGAGTGGACCACATGGTTTGCAAAAGTACTGGATGGTCCGAATCTAGGCTCGATGATCGCTTGAGCCAAGGTGCAAAATAAAAAGGTGGTCGCTCGAGCAGTAACTTGGTCGCTTGAGCCAATTGCGAATGTTTGGAAAACTATTGGATGCATGATATATGCGCTCGAGCGAGGCGGTCGAATTCTGGGCTTTCCAAAACTGATTTTGAACTTCAAAACATTTATTCAAAGTGTTTAAGCTTGCATGACATGCTCTAATCTTCAAATATACAACCATAAGCATGGATACAAAACCCATTTACAAATTCAAAGGCCAAAACTTCATGAATTCACCATGCATGACTCAATTGACTTCAAATTGTTTTCCAAAGCTTTTAAAAACATGCAATTGAGTTCCAAGACAACATCATTCATGGATGCACGTATGATTTGATCCTCCATTCAAACATAGATAACATGAACCATGCTTAAAATGATGAAGCTAACCAAAATTATGCATGCATGTATGAATTGACTCTAAATTCATCATCTTTAGCTCATTTCTTGTATTTAATCATAAAATCCTTTTGAATTCACATCTTTGATGACTTAATCTCACAAATTAAGGTTCAAAAGTTTACCTAAGGTCTTCAATTATACTTGTATTAGCCAATTCTTGAGTTCTTCTACTCAATCTCCAACCTTCAAGCCAAATCTTCAAGATCAAGCTTTTTCTCTCTCTCTCTAATGCTCTTTCAGATTTTGAGTTCAAAATTATGAGTTAACACCCCAATTAACATATATATAGGCTAGGTTGGCTTAATTCATTAATCAAGGATTAAACTAATTAATTAGAGCTTACGGCTAATCAAACAAAATTAAATTGAGCTAATCTAGTTAATTTTAAATTGAATTAAATTTTAATCAAACTTCTTATTAGGCTCTAAAAATTATACGAGTCACAATAAACTAATTAATTTCAGTTTACGATGCCATTAAGGCCTTCAATTTTAGATTATAACAGAAATCACAACAGATATTCCTACAATTAAAGGATGTGAATCTAAAATCATATTAAAAACACAATTACCACCCAAATCCACACTAAACACATAAACACATTTAAAATTAAATTGGTTAAAAGCATAATACGTGATGGGATTGTCACATATATATGTGTGTGTGTGTGTATTATATTTAAATGGTCCAGTTTTGTTTCAAACCGGTTCTGTGACTATAAAACCACAGACCGAACCGTGAAATTTGTTTTTATCTATTTTCAGAACTAGGACCGAACACTACTTTGACAAAACCAAACCAAAGAGTGTGGTTTTGTCTAGATCGGACCGATTTGTTGTTTTTTTGGTTTCTTTGCTCAACCCCTCTCTCGAAGCACTCTAGAATTAGTTGCAGACCCCTTCTACCTTGGCAAGACATAAATGAAGTTTACACTTTTCCAGCATACTGCTAAAACATTTGCTGCAATTACAGCTTTCCTTGTTCGATATCTAGGCTTCTATTGTCATATTAACAACGGTCCCATCTAATGCACCTAAACAATTCTATAGGTACAAAACGTATTATTAAACTATACTAAATGTTTTATTATCAAAAAATTAATGTAATTATGTAAATCAAAAGGTAATCGCCAAACCACTTCCATTTTGCATCTGTAGAATTAGTAGGGATCGACTCAGGGTTTTTGAGCAATACTCCATGTAGTCTTAATACAGCATTAAAGATTGCATTAAAATGTCTGCTAATTATCTCTCCAAAATGCAAAATGTCAATTTTATTTTTGGGGGAATTACTTGTTAGTGGGACAAGGAAAAAAAAATTGCCAAAACATGAAGGGTGTACAAGCTGTTCTGTGGTGGGGTGCAATTCAAATTCACAGGGTGCAACTATGAGTTTGCACCCTTAGTAGCAGGAATCGTCGAATTCATCACAAATCTGAGGAAGACGCAGGCGCGATTCTACGCTTCTAAAGAAGAATCAGAGAAGAATCGCGCTTCTGATGAGAGAGAAATGCGATCTCGATCTGTCTTCAATCTCCTCTTCTGTGATCCTCTTTTGCGATCTTGATCTCATCCTCTTCTTTCTGGATCTTGTCTCTTTTTCTCTCTCTCTCTCTCTCTCTCTCTCGATCCATCTCCTCTTTTGTGATCTTGTCCCCTCTTCTTCTTCTTCTTCTTCTTCTTCTTCTCTCTTTGTCGATCTGTCTTCTCTCTCTCTCTCCTTTTTTATTTTATTTTATTTTTTTAAGAAAAAAATCATTTATTTTTAAAAATGTAAGTCTGATAAAATCATATATAATGTAATTTATTTTATGCCTAAAATATTTTTTATTTCTTTTTAACAGAATTTGTTGTGCTTTTTATTTATTTATTTATAATATATATAGATAAATTAAAAATATTATCAATAAAAATAATACATAAGCTCTCCCAACCTATGACTCTTCTAAGTGGCCACGCTCCCGCTCCTATTTTGTGCAACTAAAGATTGCACCTCTCCATTTTTGTGTATATTTTTTCCCTCAATCTAACTGTAAATTAATTCCCCCTTTTCTTTTTATGATTCTTCAAATAATGTGCAAGTATATGAAAAAAATTGCATCCACTTCCTCTTCATAGATATATTTGAATCCCTTAAATGACCATTAGATTCAACCATGGAGCATATTGCACCGAAAATATTCTGTCCATTTAAAGTTGCTCCACACTAGTCTTGTTACTATCATAAATCGTTCTATAAAGATGATCCGTTGTTATGGAAGCTTTATTCGTGGAACATGCCTTCAAGATTGACTTGCGATAATAGTGTTCTGCAGTGCCATATAAAGTGATATAAAACCGGGAAAACATATTAATCATGTTCGTAATGATACGCAACATGGCAACACGTTTTTTCTCTTTCACCAAAATTATGCATGCCATCGTTGCCTATTTAAAATATTTTATGAGATTCAAATATGAGGACAACAATGAACACATGTAATTCAACAATTTACAGCCAATCCACAAGTCACCTGTTACCTTATCACTTTAATACCAAGTGCCTGAGATGTTCAGCAGCATAACAATACAAGAGTGCCAGAGCTTCACTGACACATGATCCATGATAGTGAGGATCACATCAACTACCCTTTAATAAAAATAAAAATTAAAAACTCAATTCAGCTATGCTGGTTCTATTTGTTTTTTGTTCTGGTTTTTGTTTTTTTGTTTTTTTTCAATCATATATATATGGTACATTCTAGATATTGATGGGTAAATAAATTTGTGCTAAAAAAATAATGTAATATAAAATATAATATATGTTGACCAGTATATGGCTATATTGTACACATTTGCGGGGTCTCTTAAATTCTATTTAATTATGCATGCAAAACCAGGAATTTATGTACTGAAAAAAGAACTGCCATTCATTTTGTAACATAAATAAAATTATAGTTGTGAAGTGTAATTGTGCCCCAAACAATCTGTGGAGTGAGAAGCATTAGAGGTTGATCTAGCATGTGAAGTACTATCGCAGTAAGACGAAACATGGAACATTCCTGGAGTGAAAAGTTATAGCCAACAGAACCACACTAATAGCCTCTACCGATTATTCTCAACACCACAGTGCACTATATGTTGCCTAGGGTTTGTCGTATCAAATCACCATTGCATATGTTGTTGATCTCCCTGAATATATATGAAGCTATTTATAAAATCACTAGAACCTAATATGCCTAGTTAATTGAAGAACAGAAAAGAGGGAAATATGATGGAGAGGGAGGAGGCACCTGTTAAAGCTATGAATGGAGTTCTCAGATTATATTGGGGTATAGTATGAAATCACTGTGGAAAGAATAAAAGAGATAGGTGATGTTTTCAGATTATATTGGGGTATCGTAGGAAATCAACCAGCTGCTTTGTTTTCTTTCTCCAATTTATGGATTAAGCAAGAATCTGAAATTGCTGTGGAGAAGTGGGGGAATCAATATGGGTTTAGTCTAAGAAACTGATTCTGGATGGATTGAGAAATCAGGAATCACATTCCCATTCCAACTTCATCAAAGTGGTGGAATCACGGGGACTTGGAATCGCATTTCTGTTCCTCCTGATTCCTGTTATCCAAACTTGGCCTTCAGATAATGTTTTCTTTTCTTTCATTTTTTTTTTCTTTTCTTTTCTTTTCTTTTCTTTGTTTGTTTGTTTGTTTTTTTCTTTTTTTTGGCACTGCTATGGTGATTGAAACTTGTTTTTAGGTTGTCTCAAAAATTGAGATGTGGTATTAAGGTTGTTCTTCTATAACACCATACTCATTTATTTATTATTAGATTCAGTAGATGGAAGTTAATTTTTCGTTCTTCCGGAATGAAGGATGACCGCTTTATTTTTTTTATTAGTTTCCAAAGTTAGATGGCATTTGTTAGGGAAGTGGTAAATTTCATCTAAATTATATAGGTTGAATACCTGACACACTGATTATTTTCTGCTGAAATATTATTGCCTGACTTGTGGCCCTTTTTTTGGCCTGTAAATAGTTATCAAAAAATTTCCTGGTTTAACTATATCTGCACTGCCTTGCAAATTGCAACAGCGTGACTCGAAATTACTTTGAGAACTTGGTTAGAGCATTAGAGAATGGTCTATCAGATGTTGATTCACATGGTGGGGGTTCCAGCAGCGAGGCAACAGCAAGTTCGAAAAGCGGAGGAGTGGCTGGCAGCAAGGGGAAAGGTGGAAGATGATATGCAGCAGCCGAAGGACAAAAGGGGCAGCATGGCATTTAAGAGGGGAGGTTGGCATTCCCTCCCTGTGTAAATGCTTTCTTTTTTGTGTTGGCTTTGACTTGGCTTGGCTGGGGCTGTAAAAACAAAGCATGGAAAGGAAGAAATGAGAAATGATGAGGAACAAGCAAGCAGCCAGCCATGTATGTTAGACATTTGTGTGCAATTTGTAGTATCATCATAACCTAATATGATTCAGTGTATATAGTCTCTCTCTATTTACTCTCTACCCACATCAATCAATCAATTTTTACTGTACTGGTCAAGGTTCTGAAACTTGCATTGTGACTACTGATTTTTAGTAGCATATATATGTTATGCAGAGTTTGGCTAGAGGCAATTGCAAATCTACTCATTTGTGTCTTGCCTCTGGCTAATCATTCATTTAAAGGTTGAATATATAGCTTCTTGAAATGTATAATTGAAGATGTTTGTGTGATTTCTATTTTTAATTTTTATTCTTTCTATTTCTTTTTGTGGTAATTACCTTTAAAAGATTGTAGCTATAGATGCTGCAAAGATTCTGGAAACACATCAATGCTTGTATGTTACAAAGAATTAACTAATCCTTTGAGAGAGAGGTTGTCTTCTTCAAATTGCAAATCACAACATTCTTGAATGCTCGATCTTTCTCTGAAATGGGTTGGGGAGAGGAAAAGCATTTTTCACACACACACATATATATATATATATATATGTATATGTTTCATGTGGTTTTAATCTTGTTTTGTTGGCAGGTCAAGGCAGTCCAGTCCAGTCTAGAAATAGGGGTTGAGTGGAGAGCATTATCTTCTTCGGGGACTCCCGAGTCTGTTGTTGGATATTGCAAACAGACAGTCATTGCTTTAGGATTCTTTTTCTCGCACAATTATGCCCTTGTGATCGAATTGCGTGTGACTAAGTTTGCCGTCGAACATGTCCTGGTCGATCAAGGAAGCACTTCCGAGATAATGTATTACAGGACCTTTCACAAACTTGGCCTCAATGATTTAGATCTTCTCCCAACTGATTATCTCCTATTTAGCTTCAATGCCAATCCTGAATATCCCTTGGGGAAGATTACCTTATCGATTCATGTAGGTACCAAAACACTGGATGTGGAATTCCTGGTCATCAAACTTCTATCACCTTACAACCTGATCATGGGACGAACCTGGTTGCATGCAATGCAGGCCATACCAAGCACTTACCATCAGCTTCGTTTCCCAACTCAACATGGAATCGAACAAATTCGGGGATCTCAGAAGTCATCAAAGGATTGTTATCCCGTCGCCTCAGCAAAGAAGCCAAGGGAACTTGGTAAACTCAATCGAAGTCTCCGACCGAGAGAGCCTTGAAGATGTGGGTAACACACCACCCGAGAAGGCAATAGAGGAGTTGGGTCGAGTCAACATCAATGATGACACAGAAAGTTTTTCCTGGTCAGCACCTGTCTTAGTATAGCTGAGCAACAAGAGTTGGTCTCCTTCTTGCTAGACAACATTGATGTTTTTGCATAGACACCTTACGAGATGCCAAAGGTCGACCCTAATGTAGCCATGCACAACTTGCATACTAACTCGAAAGCCAAACCAGTGGTTCAGAAGAGCTGCCGATTGGCCGCCGAGCATGATTCGACTGTAAGTGATGAAATAAACAAACTCCTGGAAGCTAGGGTAATTCGGGAAGTAACCTATCCCACATGGCTGTCCAACACGGTGGTAGTGAAGAGGAAAAATGGATCATGGCGTGTTTGTGTGGACTTCACCGATCTAAACAAAGCTTTCCCTAAGGATTGCTTTTCCCTACCCCGAATTGACCAACTCGTTGATGCAACCGCCCAACATCAGCGTCTAAGCTTTCTAAATGCTTATCGGGGCTATCACCCAATCGCCATAGATCCCGCTGATCAGGATAAAATAGCATTCCTCACGCCACGGGGAACCTACTGTTATAAGGTCATGCATTTTGGACTGAAAAATGCCGGGGCAACATACCAACGATTGGTCACCACCATGTTCAAAGAACAAATCGATCGAACCATGGAAGTGTACATCGACGATATGGTCGTCAAATCCAAGGAAAAGAATGTCCACCTAGCCGACTTAGCAGAGACCTTCGGCATCCTCTGAAAATACAAAATGAAGCTCAACGCTTCGAAGTGTGCATTTGGTGTCGTCTCTGGCAAATTTCTCGGCTATATCGTGCATCATCATGGGATAGAGGCCAACCCAAAGCAAATACAGGCCATTCTAGAACTTGATGGGGAATGGCTGCCGCCCTTAACAGGATCATCAGCCTTTCGTTGGACCGATGTAAACCATTTTTTCAAACTCTTCGGCAAGGAAAAGCATTTGAATGGACCCCGAATGCCAGGCTGCTCTAGACGGATTGAAAATATACCTCAGCTCCGCCCCACTTTTGGCAACCCCATCTCCAGGCGATGTCTTATGCCTATAACTGGCAGTGTCCGAGCAAGCAGTAAGAGTCGTGTTGCTAAAGGAGGATCTCGGCGAACAGAAGCCTATCTTCTATGTTAGCAAGGCAATGGTGGATGTTGAGACTCTGCACTTACCCTTGGAGAATCTCATCCTGGCTTTTGTAATAGCTACAATGAAACTGATGCATTATTTTCAAAGCTCATACCATCAAAGTGCCGACCAATTTCCCCCTCCATTTAGTACTCCGTAGTACAAAGTCGTTAGGGCAAGTGTCGAAATGGGCATTAGAGCTTGGCCAGTACGATCTTTAGTTTTCACCAAGAATGGCCATTAAAGAGTAAGTGTTGGTTGACTTTGTTGCCGAATTCATTGGGTGCCATGAACCAGATCTTGACCGATCTGCCCTCAGACCTCATCCAAATTGAAGAATGTATGTTAGGGATATTTGGTAGATGTATTGTGATGGGTCATCGAACCAATGTGGCAGTGGGACAGGAGTCGTAATTATGACACTTGAGGGAGTAATACTCAAACAATCAGTCAAATTGCGTTTTGACACCTCAAACAACAAGGCTGAGTATGAGGCTCTGATAAACAGCTTGCAACATGTATTACGACTGAGGGCTAAGTGGTTACAAGTTTTCTGCGATTCTAAATTGGTCATTAACCAATTAAAAGGGGAGTATACGACCAAGAATGATCGCATGGCAGCCTATATGAAGTTGGCCAGCTCTTTACTCGCAAAATTTGATACTCATGAACTAAATCAGATTACCCGTCACTAGAACACACATGCTGATGCTCTTGCCTGTTTGGCATCAGCCGTGAACTCCGAAATTAAGCAAACTATTGAAATGGGTTTCGTTCCAGAACCCAACATCGACATCCCTAATCTCGTTGTTGTGAATGCCATCGAAAGAAGGCCAAGTTCTATGGATCCAATTATTGCGTTTCTCTTTTCAGAATAGCTGCCATAGGACAAAAAGGAAGCCTACAAGGTGCAAAACAAAGTCGTGCGATATTACTTGGATCCCTACAACAAACTTTATAAGAAATCTCTCTCTGGACCTTATTTGGACTATGTACATCTGGATCTAGTTGAAGATTTCTTAGCAGAGATACATGAGGCAATTGTGGTGCTCATATCGGAGGACAATCCTTAGCCCATCGAGTGGTTACTCAGGGATACTGGTGGCCGACTATGCGAACTGATGCTGAAACCTACATAAAGAAATGTGAACAATGCTAAAAGTTCTCTTATTTAACCCATTTGTCTGCCGAAGAATTGAATTCGGTGACCAGTCCTTGGCCCTTCGCTCAATAGGGTTTAGACATAGTTGGCCAGTTGCCAAGGGCCCCAGGAAATAAACGATTCTTAATTGTCGCAATGGACTATTTCACAAAGCGGGTCGAGGCAGAACCGTTGGCAACTATATGGGACGTAGATGTTAAACATTTTGTTTGGAGGAGTATTATTACCTAATTCGGCATACCCAGAGCACTTATTTCTGACAACGACACTCAGTTTGATTGCGGTGTGTATTGGGAATTGTGTGACGCATATAGTATTCGGCCCTATTTCTCCTATCCGACTTATCCACAGGGCAACGGTCAGGCCGAAGCCTCTAATAAGGTGGTCCTAGACGGTATTAAGAAACGTTTGGAGAAAGCTAAGGGCAAGTGGGTTTAGGAATTGCTAAGTGTGCTGTGGGCTCATCGCACTACTCCAAGACAGTCTATAGGGGATACCCGTTTTCTTTATGTTTCGGCACTAAAGCGATCATCCCTTTGGAAATTGGCTTGCCAACCCTTAAATCGAAAGCTTTTGAAACCAGCCGAAACAACATGATGCTAGCCCTTAGATCTAAATTTACTGGGGAATGGCTGCCGCCCGCTCTCGTGACTATGGCACGGTATCAGCGACAACTTGCTAGATCATATAACCAACGAGTGCAGCTACGCCAATATACCCTTGGAGAGTTAGTCCTCAAGAAAGTACTACCCGCATCCAAGGATCCCGCAAACGGTAAACTCAGCCCCAATTGGGATGGCCCCAAATCGACTCAATTGTTTGCACAAGGGCAAACCGACTCTTAGATCTGAACGGCAAAAGGTTGCCTCGACCTTGGAACTCGTCTCATTTACACAAGTTTATTATTAATACGTTCCTCAACGATATTTTGGTTACCTCAGTTGTATGTTTGGTTTCATTACTCTAAATTACATGTATACCCTCTTTAAGTAATACAATTAATATGTATAACCTCATTATTTCACTTCGTATCGATTTCTTCTTGAATGATGTTTCTTTTTCAGTTTACTGCGTGTCCTTTATGCTCGGCACTATCGGCCGCCAAATGCCTCCGAATTCAGAGCGCCTTTCGTGTTGGGCACGATTGGCCAAAAGCCTTTGAATTTGGAGCGTCCATCGTGCTTGGCACGATTGGCCAAAAGCCTCCGAATTCGGAGCGCCCTTCGTATTCGGCATAATCGGCCGCCAAAAGCCTCTGAATTCGGAGCGCCCTTTATGCTTAGTATGATTGGCCAAAAGCCTTCGAATTCAGAGAGACGACTTTGAAATACGCAAACAAATGCCTGTAGTTGGAATCACGTTCTTATTAGAAGAAAATAGCATTACAATCTCAGCCAACGTTCATTTCATACATAACATTGGTGATTACCAAAAAAAAAGAAAAAACCAATCCGTGCCTTCAGGCTTTGTCCAATGTCGCCGCCTCCTCTTCATCATCTGTCTTCTCGGCATCATAGGCCTCAAACGGCGTTACAAAATTTTGATACAAGGGAGATACCGAATCCACCCCCGTTCTTTTTAGGGCATTGATCCATCCATGTTTGAACCCCTGGGTCTCACATCGGCAAGCGCCATCTGCCAATTTTTCCTTTGTCTTTTCAATCCCAATTGTTCGTCCTTCAAAGAATCCCTTGTTATACACTTTGGTCTCTATCACCTTTTTCGTGAAAATATTGGCAGTGTCCCAATTGGCTATTACATGGTCTATTAGTCGCCGCGTGACTGCGTCTCTCGCAATCGAGTCCATCACTCCTGCCAATTGGACCTCGGCTGCCTTGGTTTTCCGAACTTCAATTTTAGCTCGTTCCTTCACCTCATCCAACCGGCGTTCTAAATTCTGAATCCACCCATCTTTATGCTGTATCTCCTTTTGAGCGGCGCGAAGGCGCATGCAGACTTCATATGCACTATAAAGTCCCTTGATCGCTCCATGAATGCCCTTCCTAAAAACTTTGTAGCTGCCTCGATTCATCATCGACTGCTGAACTTCTGGCGAGAAGGTTGCCACGTAAACTCCACCGCTATGTTCAGGTTACGAATCATTGAGTTGGCCTTAGTCATGGGGGCGTGGCGATCTGTTTAGCTCATGTTGCGCAGAAGTCAGCACGCTAGCCGCACGTGTGCTTCCTCTTTTCTAACCCTTATTTTTGGGGATCTATTTCCGTCGTCCCTTTTGGGTGACCTACTTCGATGCCTGGGCGACTGGCGTCTCTCTTGCTTCTCTGCCACCACATTTCCAGTTCATGAAGGATCGCTACCAACTCTACGATGCATCTCTGCATCTAACTCAACCAAACACTTCTCATCTCCTTTTCTGTTGAAGAGTAACCTTCCTGACATATGCTCTTGCTCACCTCGACGATGCAACATGTCCCTCTACTCGCTGATAACTTGAGTGACCTTTTTTCGCGACTGTCTCTTCATCATTCGCGTAGCATCTATTTAAAGACATCAAGCCATAAATGCCTGGCTACGCTCTACATTTCTTATGGCTGCACCCTTCACAATGCGCCTATGGCCGCCGCTAGCCCTGCATCTATTCGGCACCATCGATGCACCTATGTATGTGGCCGAATTGCCACATTATACCCCACTTGAGAACTTGGGTCACATTACTGTTAGTTATTCGGCGTCGTATGTCTGCATCTCAATTGGGGTAGGGGCCGATATATTGATCTATTCGGCACCATACCCCACTTGAGAACTTGGGTCACGTTACTGTCAGTTGTTCGGTGTCGTGCATCCATGTCTCAACTAAGGCAAGGGCCGATATATTGATCCATTCGGCACTATACCCCACTTGAGAACTTGGGTCACATTACTATCAGTTATTCGGCGTCGTACGTCTTCAACTGGGGCAAGGGCCGATATATTGATCTATTCGGCACCATTAATGCACCTATTATGCGGCCGAATTACCATATTATACCCCACTTGAGAACTTGTCACATTATTGTCAGTTATTTGATAGACATATTCATGTCCCATGAGCCGTTTATGACTGGGGCAATGCCCCATTGTACCAAGAGCCGTTTATATTCAGTGTCGTACGTCCGCCTCTCAACTAGGGCAGGGGCAGATATATTGATCTATTCGGCACCATACCCCACTTGAGAATTTGTCATGTTATTGTTAGTTATTTAGCAGACATATTAATGTCCCATGAGCCATTTACGACTGTGGCAAGGCTTCAATGTACCAAGAGCCGTTTACATCACATTTACTCAACAAACTGATGGTTATATGAAGCACACACGAAGATTACTACAATTATATTTGCTATGGGAAAAATGATTCAATAGGAGCATTTTCATTGATAAACTGAATAAGTACAAATGATTCACTTTAAATATGAAAACGAACCTATTACAACTCTACAGGAAAACAAAAACAAATACAAACACATTTTTGCCTAGTTTGCCTAGTTACAAAATAGGGTTAGTTCCAATTGGGCCCATCGCTCCATTCGGCTTCAAGGTTCCTCAGGGTCTGATTCCAGCGGCTCCACTTTTTTTTGCTTATACGGAATTGGCATATCAAGTGTCATCTCCGCAGCCGCCAATGCTTTGAGCCAGCCGTGTTTGAAGCCTCGATTTTTTACTTTCAAGGCTTCATCAGCAAACTTCTCCATGGCCAACAGTTCTTCAGCATCAAACGCTTTGGATGACTCTGCTTCCGCCTCTTGCTTCTTCTCTTTTTTAGCCACTTGGAGATGAGCCTTGAGTTTTTCTATCTCTTCTTTCGCCATTGCTAGAGTGGCGTCAGTCATATTGGCCCTTTCTTCGGCGGCCCTTCGAAATAGGTCCATGTGTTTTTTCTCTTTCTTCTGCAACGGCCCTTGCATGTTCTTCATCAGCCCTCCTCGCCTCGGCCTCGGCTTTTTTCGTCGTCACCGCCAAGTTAGCAGTGGCCAACTTGGACTTCATCTTTTCTTGTTCCACCTTTGATTTAAGAAAGCTGATTAATTCTACGGCATTGTGGTGACGGCGTCTAATTTCGGCAATCTGTTCCGCCGCCTAAACCAAAAATAAAAAGGCAAACGTAAATATGCATGCAACATGCGATAGTTTTAAAGTCAGATGAGCACTTCGGATAAATGTTACTTACCAAAGTGGCTAACTGAGTCGCTAGGGCAATTGAAAATAAGTCAAGCTCTGCACGAAATGTCGCCTTGTCCTTGGGAAAAGCAATCACCGATGCAACACTCAGTGCCACAAAAGATCTTTGGATGCCGAAGCACCAGTTAGGACTAATGCACCCTTTATTTTCGGCTGTATGGTAAACGACGTAGCAAGATCAAGAGTCGAAACCCTTGGTCGTTTATCTGTTGGTTGCTTTGTTAATTCGGCGGCGATCTCCGAGGATTCAGCTGATCGTTTTTGCCTCCTTGGCTCAGTATGTGTTTTTTCAAACACTGGTTCCTAAGGTTTGGCCACCTCTTCAAGAATTGGATCGGCGACCACTAACTGATCGACCACTGGAGGAGCCTCTTGGCTTCCACCAGCATCCATCGCTCTTTTTCTACTTGCCAGCTTTTCAATGTTCCCCTGCCTCGCAAATTAGGCAAGTGATTAGCTGGCCATATTTTCGGCTCTTGGTCCAGGTAGGTCTTGTAAATCAATAAAGATATCCTCTTCTCGGGAGGAGAAGTTTGTTTGGCCAAGTGGAGGAGGGCTATTCCTTTCGTCAAAGCCGATTTGGTCGAAAGCTAGACCGACCTCTCTAGCAAGTTCTTGTTCCTTTGCTAGGCAGACATCCAATTTGGTAAACATCTGAATTGGCACGATTTGGTTGGACCACTTCAACACCTAGATTGGCGCCTCCTCCACCTTGTGCGACGATTTCGCCTTATTGTTCGCCGGATGAAGACCCTCCAAGACTAATATCACTAAAGTTGGTAAAGTTAGGAAATATTAGCGTCGTGAGTTGTTGTTCGTCTCTTGGAATCGGAATGTGATTTGTTGTCGCGAAGGTTGAATACGTAGGGTCGTGTCTTAATAATATGTGCGCGGCGTGTCCCTGCCCTTGGAGACTTGGACGACCAATGCAGTCAAGAATGGTCTTCACTTGCACAAGCAGAAGTTCGTCTGGCGAAGTGAGAGCTTTCTTGAGATCGTTACCTGCACACAAAACAAAAACAGAAAAAATCATATTTCAAGCTGAATAGAAATCAAGTTGATAAAAGATCTATTCGGCCACTTGGCTCGCCTTTCCGTCTAGACACTAGGTATAGGCATTCTTTTTCTTCACCGAATTCCCAATTGCCTTGGATGGCGACCATGACATAGTTGACCCTCTTGCCAGAGCTGGCAAGCATTGTAACTAAGCCCAATGGAGGCCACAGATAGGTTGCTGAATAACCATGGAGGCCCATGAGACCGAACATTCATGCCACAAGCCGAAGCCAAGTAGTCCAGGGAAGACGGAAGGGCCCTATTGGACCAAACTGTTGGCCCATCCCATAAAAGCATGGTGACAAGAAAAAGACTATAAAAGGATGGGAGGAGCCTGAGAGAAGGGCATGCAAAAAATAGTAACTTAGACCTCAAGTAAGACAGAATACCAAGGACCCAAAGCTACAACTGATTAATCTATCGTAGTGAGACCTCTGGCACCATTGATGGGAGTTGTATATCTATTTCAGGCTACATCGAAGAGATCTTCGAGGCCTACCTAAACCTGAGTATTTCCTTCAATCCACTTCCCCCCACACATATATATGCTGTTAATGTGCATTAATTTATTACTTTATGTGTATATTGGTAACAACTCATTACTTTATTTTTACAATTTTAGATATTCGAGTCTCGGGATGAATTAATTCGGTGGGCACGTGATGTTGGGAGGAGAAATGGTTATGTTATTGAGATGGTTAGTTACAATGCTTTCTTGAGATCGTTACCTGCACACAAAACAAAAACAGAAAAAATCATATTTCAAGCTGAATAGAAATCAAGTTGATAAAAGATCTATTCGGCCACTTGGCTTGCCTTTCCGTCTAGACACTGGGTATAGGCATTCTTTTTCTTCGCCGAATTCCCAATTGCCTTAGATGGCGACCATGACATCGTTGACCCTCTTGCCAGAGCTGGCAAGCATTGTAACTAAGCCCAATGGAGGCCACAGATAGGTTGCTGAATAACCATAGAGGCCCATGAGACCGAACATTCATGCCACAAGCCGAAGCCAAGTAGTCCAGGGAAGATGGAAGGGCCCTATTGGACCAAACTGTTGGCCCATCCCATAAAAGCATGGTGACAAGAAAAAGACTATAAAAGGATGGGAGGAACCTGAGAGAAGGGCATGCAAAAAATAGTAACTTAGACATCAAGTAAGACAGAATACCAAGGACCCAAAGGTACAACTGATTAATCTATCGTAGTGAGACCTCTGGCACCATTGATGGGAGTTGTATATCTATTTCAGGCTACATCGAAGAGATCTTCGAGGCCTACCTAAACCCGAGGAGTATTTCCTTCAATCCACTTCCCCCCACACATATATATGCTGTTAATGTGCATTAATTTATTACTTTATGTGCATATTGGTAACAATTCATTACTTTATTTTTACAATTTTAGATATTCGAGTCTCGGGATGAATTAATTCGGTGGGCACGTGATGTTGGGAGGAGAAATGGTTATGTTATTGCTGTGGAGAAATCAGATGCAGGCGGTACTCATTGTAAGAAACCAACGCTCTCTTGCTTATGAGAAGAGCGGATGTTATAGGGACACTCGGAAAAACACTAGACCTAAGGAAAAAAATATTGAAGCTTTCTGGTACTAAAAAATGTGACTATCATTTTCTATTAAAAGCTAAAAAATTAGATACAAATGATGATTGGACATTGACCGTCATATGTGGTGTGCATAATCATCCTAATGCGGTTTGTCTAGAAGGTCATTCTTATGCTGGGAGGTTATCATTTAAGGAAACTTATTTGTTGGTTGATATGTCGAAGAGTATGGTACAACTAAGTGAGATATTAGTTACACTTAAACGATGCAATAGTGAAAATGTTTCCACAATGAAGACAATCTACAATGCACGTCAATGACATAAACTTTTTGAGAAAGCTGGGAGATCTGAAATGCAGCTACTATTGGGTCAGTTAGCGGTGAACAAATACATAGAATGGCATAGGAACTGTAAAGATACTGAGACTGTTACCGATTTGTTCTTTGCACATCCAGTTAGTTTGGATTTGCTACGTGCATTCCCACGTGTGTTACTAATGGATTGTACATATAAGACCAATCGATATTGTTTGCCACTTTTGGAGATTGCAGGAGTAACATCCACTGAAAAGACTCTCTGTGGGTTTTGCATACCTCCACTATGAGAGGGAGGATAATTATGCATGGGCGCTTGGTATTTTGCATAGTTTGATGGATGAGAATAGTCTTCCCAATGTTATTGTTATAGATAGAGAATTGAGTCTAATGAATGCCATTGCGACGATATTTCCACGAGCTACAAGTTTGTTATGTAGATGGCATATTAATAAAAATGTGTTGGCAAAATGCAAGAAATTGTTTGAGAAGAAGGAGAAATGGCATATGTTTACAACAAGTTGGAATATGTTGGTTATGTCATCTTCTGAAGAAGTGTACATGCTACGACTCACATTGCTACAAAATGAGTTTGACTTTTATGTAGAGGCACTTCAATATGTCACATCTTCTTGGTTGGATGCATATAAGGAGAGATTTGTGACTATATGGACAGATACATGTATGCACTTGGGAAATTCAACAACGAACATGTAAATTCAATTATTTAAAAAAAAATGTATATTTTCCTATTTTACCATTGTAGTGGTTTACATATATACGGTAGAGAGTTCACATGCAATGCTTAAGAGATATGTTGGATCAAGTCAAGGAAGTCTTCAGTCAGATTGGTCAAGGATACATAATTTGCTTGAATTGCAACACACTGACATCAAATCATCGTTTGAGAAGAGCAAGACAGTTGTGCAACATAATTTCAAGCTTGCTCAATTTAAAGATCTTCGTGGGAATGTGCCAATCGCAACATTGGAAATGATATTAGCAGAGTCCAAATGAGCATCTTTTGTTGGCATTGACATTGTTACATGTGGTTGAGTTGTTTGGCGTATACATGGATTACCATGTGCGCATGAAATAGCAGATTATGTAAGAGAAAACCGACTAATTCCTCTAACTTCTGTAGATTCACATTGGTCCAAGCTTGACATGCTTAATATTCCTAAAAAATCAAATTCATTTTTGGATTGCAAATTGGAGTTGGAAATGTTTTCTCGACGTTACAAAGAGGTAGATCCAACTATGCAGGTTCAAATGTTAAAGAAGTTGAGGGAGATACATACACCTGAGAGTACATTCTTGATTGAACCCGAAGTGAAGCTTAACCCACGAGGTTGACCATCCTTGAAGATTGATACTTCTACTCGTTGTGAGCCCTCTGCCTTTGAGTTTGTTTTATCTGCACAGGACAACTATTCTCCAAGTGTAGGTTTGGAGAAAAATACGTGTCCAAAAAAAATTAAAATCAATGCAGCGACCAAAGGTGAGTTTGCAAACCGATTAATTATATCTTATACCTATACAACAACATGTATTAACTAAATTTAACAATGGATTGTATGTGTGTAGGTATACCCACATCGATCAACAAAAAAAAACCAATTTGTCTTGTGTAGGTGAATTTCCTACAAGTTTGAGGCCATATATTCAACTCGTGAAGAATGTTGATACTGATGGTAATTGTGGATTCCAAACCATTGTTGGATTGATGGGATTTAGGGAAGACGGATGGTTGCAAGTGAGGAAAGATTTACTACAAGAATTACATGCTCATATAGATCACTACAAGAGTTTATTTGGGGGCCAAGAAAAAGTTAATGAGTTAATTGCTACTTTAGAATATTTTGAATCAAATGCTGGATATGGTCATTGGATGACAATGCCTGACATGGGTCATCTGATATCATCTTTTTATAATGTTGTGTTATTTCACTTATCTTCTCAGTAATGCCTCACTTTTCTCTCTCTTAGGACAATACCGATGCCGATTGCATCTCGCAAGGAGATATGTATCAGGTTCGTCAACAACAACCATTTCGTTCAGGTACTCGTTTTAAGGCTTATTCTTGAAACAAATTTATTTTTCTTATGAGCAATACAATAGTAAAAATCATATTTCACCATTATTTCATATTCGTAAGCCTTCTTGATGCATGGTCACCTGGTGCCACCTATAGCAACGAATTGGCAGCATTACCATTTACCTGCTGTAGTAGAATAGGAGACAACTTACAGTGCCCAAGTGCACCATTTCACTTCACTCGTAGGAGCGAGTGTAGTGACAACTGAGACGACAGAGTTGGATGTAGACATATCAAGTTCTAGCGAAGTAGATGTGCATGTTCATAACATGTTTTTTATTATCTGAAGAATTTTAGTTTTATTTCTTTATGAAACATGTTGGTGCTACTTATATTTGTTAAATAAAAGTATTAAGCTTTGACCAAATGATACTGGTTGATGTGTAATTATCTTCGTTAATTAAATAATGTTAAACTCTGATGGGTTGAACTCGTTGTTAGATGCTGGACTTTATGTTTCCTCTGGTTCGGGAATATAGGCCCAAACATTTAATTTGTTAACACTTTGAATGGTTAAAATTGTTAATGCTTGCAGAAGTTTTCATTTGTCAAGTTTGAGAATACAGGCCCGAACTTTACTTATTTGTTCGGGATGGCGTTCCCGAACAAATAAGTAATGTTTGGGAATGTAGGTTCGAACATGAAAATTTCTTAACACATTGAACAGTCAAAATTATTAACGCTTGCAGAAGTTTTCATTTTTTTAAGTTCAGGAATACAGGATCGAACATTACTTATTTGTTTGGGATGGCATTCCCGAATAAATAAGTAATGTTTGAGAATGCAGGTCCGAACATTGAAATTTCTTAACACATTGAACGGTCAAAATCGTTCACACTTGTAGAAGTCTTCATTTTTCAAGTTCAGCAATACAGGTCCGAACATTACTTATTTGTTTGGGAAGACATTCCTGAACAAATAAGTAATGTTCGGGAATGCAGGTCCGAACATGAAAATTTCTTATCACATTGAATAGTCAAAATTTTTAACACTAGTAGAAGTTATTGGAAGTAGCCCAAATCTATTATCAGGTTCAAAAGTTGTTCCTTCATTGCGTAGCTTTGATAATATTGCTACATAATTCTCTGCTAAACTCATAATGCAATTTTATAACATCTACCAACAAAACCAACCAAACCACTTCTTATAATTTTTTTCCTGCAAGAGAATAAATTATTACTAGAAAACTAAGAAATTATGTATATATATATATAGAGAGAGAGAGCATACTATGACAATGGTAGATGAGGCAACAGAGACAGTAATCACATTGGCTTTTCTTCTTTTTGGTGGGTTTTGTTAGGTTTTTTGGAAAAAGGAGTTTTTTTGGGTGTGGAGATGTGGAGGGTGTGCATTCAATGGGTGGAATATTTTTACAAGGATAATTTTGATATTATTTTGGGGGGGGGGAGGGGAAAGAAATTTTGAGGGTTTCAAAATTTATAAGTAGGGGCCGAAAGAAATGGAAGGTCCAAAATAATTCATGGGGTGCTAATAGCACAACTCTTTCATAATTTAAGTTTTACAAATCCACTTTTAATGTAATTGATATATGTAGATTTTTTTTTTTAATTTTTAATTTTACTTTTAGATCTTTCAAATAAGATAATAGTGAAAATAAAATAAAATAAAATAAAGGGAATTACATTATTTGTTGGTCAATCAAAATAGCATTTTTTTTTGCTAAAGTAAGTGCTCAAAATCATCTTGAAAGGCCATCAAGATTCCTATTTGTCATACAGGGCCTTTCAAAATAATCTTGAGCACTTACTTTAGCAAAAAAAATGCTATTTTGATTGACCAACAAATAATGTAATTCACTTTATGTTATTTTCACTATTGATCTTATTTGAAAGATCTAAAAGTAAAATAATAATAATAAAAAATCTACATATATCAATTTCAATAAAAGTGGATTTGTAAAACTTAAATTATGAAAGAGTGGTGCTATTAGCACCCCATGAATTATTTTGAACCTTCCATTTCTTTCGGCCCCTACTTATAAATTTTGAAACCCTCAAAATTTCTTTCCCCTCCCCCCTAAATAATACCAAAATTATCCTTATAAAAATATTCTACCCATTGAATGCACACCCTCCACAACCCCACACCCAAAAAACCCCCTTTTCCAAAAAACCTAACAAAACCCACCAAGGAGAAGAAAAGCTAATGTGATTACTATCTCTGCTGCCTCATTCACCATTGTCACAGTATGCTCTCTCTCTCTCCCTCTCTCTCTCTCTCTCTCTCCCTCTCTCTCTCTCTCTATATATATATAATTTCTTAGTTTTCTCATAATAATTTCTTCTCTTGCAGAAAAAAATTATAAGAATTGGTTTGGTTGGTTTTGTTGGTAGATGTTATAAAATTGCGAGTTCAGTAGAGAATTACGTAGCAATATTATCAACGCTACGCGATGAAGGAACAACTTTTGAACCTGATAATGGATTTGGGCTACTTTCGATAACTTCTACTAGTGTTAAAAATTTTGACCATTCAATGTGTTAAGAAATTTCCATGTTCGGACCTGCATTCCCGAACATTACTTATTTGTTCGGGAATGCCTTCCCAAACAAATAAGTAATTTTCGGACTTGTATTACTGAACTTGAAAAATGAAGACTTCTACAAGTGTTAATGATTTTGACCGTTCAACGTGTTAAGAAATTTCCATGTTCAGACTTGCATTCTCAAACATTACTTATTTGTTTGAGAATGCCATCTCAAGCAAATAAGTAATGTTCGGGCCTGTATTCCTGAACTTAAAAAAATGAAAACTTCTGCAAGCATTAACAATTTTGGCTGTTCAATGTGTTAAGAAATTTTCATGTTTGAACCTACATTCCGAAACATTACTTGTTTGTTCGGGAACGCCATCCCGAACAAATAAGTAAAGTTCGGGCCTGTATTCTCGAACTTGACAAATGAAAACTTCTGCAAGCGTTAACAATTTTAACCATTCAAAGTGTTAACAAATTAAATGTTTGGGCCTATATTCCCGAACCATAAGAAACATAAAGTCCAGCGTCTAACAACGAGTTCAACCCATCAGAGTTTAACATTATTTGATTAACGAAGATAATTACACATCAACCAGTATCATTTGGTCAAAGCTTAATACTTTTATTTAACAAATATAAGTAGCACCAACATGTTTCATAAAGAAATAAAACTAAAATTCTTCAGATAATA